ACATTAGAAGCTGCTTTATTGCTTTATTGCTGTATTAGCCTGCATTAGTTCTAACAAGGTGGGTCACTGTGCCCTGAACTGTGACACAGCACAGAGCTTCCCTGTTTAAACATACTGAAAATACACTGACATGTTGGAAAGTTTAACAGGGATTGTGGAATTTAGTACCAAACGGTATCATAGTTTCGGGCCTGTGTAATCCCCTGCAAAGGAGAGTGAGAGTCTCTTAATAGGTGCACTGGTTACTAAAGCAGTCTCATGTATTATTGACCCATCGGCTCTCCCGTCTCTACCCCCCCACGGGTTTTGTGTTTTTGTAGAGTACCATCTACCATCACAGCAACGAAGGCAGCCTATGCACACTTTTACTCGGATACCGACACTCCTTGTAGTGACAGACAGACCAGGGGAAACACAGAGGGGTCAAGCTGCTTAGGCCTGACAGCCTTGTAATCTTCTGACTGACTCGGCCCTGCGGCCTATGTGACGGTCAGCATCTGCTGCAAAGACACAGCAGAGTCACTGCCTTCTTATCTTAGAATTTGATAGACTGGGATAAAAGATTCATGATTATCAAGCTTTCTCCTTATACTCGTCTACTCGTGGTGCGACAAGGTGAATTGAAAGTGTTGCACGTGCAGGGTTATAGTGAGGTGGTAACTGGAAAAAGACTTGATAACAGGAAACAAAAAAAGTGACACACATTCTGGCTGTAGATGCATTTCTCATTTAGCTGGATGACGTTTTGGCCCTTGGGGAATTTTTCAAGAGGAACATTCTTCAAGGTGAATCTACCGAGCACATATCTGATGAATGGCAGGACTAACAAATCCAGCTCAACTGCGTGAACGAACACGACTTCACCCTCGCTAAAGTTCAAAACTACAATTTAAAAAAAAATCCCCGATGCACTTGCAATACTTCAAAAATACACACCCACCTGGGGCAATTCTGGGATTCCCACGTTTGGGAGGAAATCGTACAGATCTTTGAAAAGACAAAGGAGCAGAGGTGTGCGGGTGTGGTCGATGGGATCAGGAGGGCTGACGAAAGCAGAGAGCATTGCGTGTTTTTCATGCAAAACAAGAGCAGAGGACGGCTTGTGCTGCTGTATCACTGTATCTTGAATGCAACAATGGAGCTACGCACCAGTGTGTGTACTCTGGTGATCGTGATCCATGCTGTCGATATTCTTTTTCAGAGAATAATCAGAGCCCAACTTTCCCCTCTGGGCGAAGTGAGTTGCGTATGTACTGAACATGGGCAGCTAATGGCATCACTCCCACATAATGACACCCATCTGGCATACAGCTCCCTCGGGTCAGGCACATAGCAGGAACACAGAGGATCTGAGCGCATCACCATTAGGTGGCAGGCAGTTAGAACTATTGATTACAATTACACAACTGCCCCTCCAGGCTGTTTCATACACTGTATACACTAACTAAGCATTTCCAATTGCAATTGATTTGTTATGTACCCATCAGCTGATACATTAATGCCATTACTAGAGCTGACACTTAAAAAAAACTCACAACAAAAATCATCCTCGACAGTTTCTGCTAAATCCATAGAAAGCAACGGTGGAAAGGCAAATGTTTTGTGTTGCAACGAAGCACATCTGCAGTGAAACAGACCTGATGACAGCAATCACGGAGCTAATAGTGCTCTCAGCATGCCTAAAGTGTGAAGAAACAGAGAGATGGCTCAGCTGAGGGCCTACTATAAGTCTCTGCTCTCCACTGCAACAATAAACAAAGGGGCTCTAAGCAGCGTGAGCCTTCATGAAAATGCGCAAATTGTTAGGAGAAGGGAGCAGCACAGCGCACTTGACACCAATATATAGTTGAGACATTGCTGTGTGACTAGTTGATATGTCGGTGCTGCACTGTATGCTATAATCTGAACAAAGGTTTGGGTTGCCACGCTTTTAAAAAGTACAACATTTATGTTTTAAGCTGAAACACAATCATGGTTGGAACCAGAATGGGCGACAACAGCCACAATCTGCCCTTTATGTCCCCGGAACAGATCGCTCTATTCCTCCTGTGGTATTTACATGTTTCATGGAGGAATTAATTACAAGCTGCGTGGACAGCCGTCTTGTATGCAGTCGCATTCTTGTCCCACTGAGAAGCTTCAGCAGACCCTCAGTGATACAGCCATACATTCACCACTACGGCTCACACAGTGTCACCATGCTCCCATGTGTTTATCAACAAATCAACTCCAGGATGCCTGACTCAACTCCTGCAAAAGCAAAATCCAGTGCAGAGTTTCTACAAGTTACTTCAGCCCTCCAGTAAGCACGTTGATTTCCCAACATGCATACTTGTATCCATTTCTGCTCTCCTCCCTCTGGCGTCTCTGGCAGTGCACCAGAGTGAGAATGAATAAATAATACGAAGGTGTGGTTGGATGTCTGGGATCCTGACTCAGGATTCCATTTCCCTGACAGAGAGCCTGGACGGTGTCCGTTTCGGTTGCCTGGCAACTTTTTCCAGGAAAAGCTGGAACAATCAGACGGAGCACCAAACACCCAACACACTCGGTCACAACAAAAGGGTCGACTCCTTTTTCCTCTCCGAGCTCTGTGGAAAACTGATACCGAAATACACTGCAGGTCCTCGCCGCCCAAATGCTGTCGACCAAAGTGGATGGTCGAATTAGGCGTTTTGTCACTGTCACTGGACACTTTACGGGTTTCTGAAGCATGAAACTGAAACCACATGCTTCTCCTCGGTAAGGAGCTATTATGTCATGTCAGTGCATCCCAGTGAAAAGTGATGCCCTCATTCACACAAACCGCACAACTTTAAACAAGCACTGATTCTGTACTGACTCTCTAGGAAACAAGTGTTGTAAGGATGTGTGCAAGTGTTTTGGATAAACTACATGCAAAAGAGAGCAATTTATATTGTGTTTCAGGCAAAAATCCAACTACAATACAACATCTCTTTACTCTAACCTGTATTTCTGTCACACATCTTAGTTCATTCATTCAAAATAACTCTCTTCCTGCAGATCAGCACTACTCAGTCCATGAGATGACCCTCAACCTTAAGGTTTTCCCACCCAGCAGCTCTAAAGTCAGCAGGGTGAGAATGAAAGTGAAGCACATCAGGAAACTTATGGTAATTTTAGCACCCACATGATCTGTATAAACTACAAACAAGAGAGTAAGTTGTTTGTTTTGTGCTATATATGCACCCAAAATATTAGCAAAATCTTTCCTTTCTCTCTGTCTCTGCCACAGACACCCTCATTCATTCACTCCAAATCACACTCTCGCTTATTTTCAGGTCAGGATCACTCAGTCATAGTAAGACCTGTAGTGTTTAAGCCCGTAAGCCCCCTTTGCTTTCCACTGAAACTGTGCGTAAAAATAAACGCAGGTGGTTCCCCGCTCCACAAGGACTCGATGGCACTGACCACGGTGGTACATGGAAGGGGAGGAGGGGGAGTAGGAGGAGGAGGAGAAGGGGGGAGTTAAGGGGGGGGAAGGGGAGGAGGGGGTGTAGGAGGAGGAGGAGAAGGGGGGAGTTAAGGTGTGTACTTACAACCAGCACGGACGTCCTCACCACCTCCGAGACACTTTGCCTGAGTTCGGCCGCGGTGCCAGGTTTCCCCAGACCCCGCGTAAATTTCCTGGTCTCCGGATGCACTGGAGTGGCCATCGTTACGCACCACTTCGCATCCAATCAATCCAATCCGCGCGTTCTGTCAGCAAAAGTTTAGAGAAAATTCATCATCGCTTCTATCCCCCCTCCCCGATCACCGCTAGTGCGCACCACGAGTTTGGAGTTGGCTCATGTTGTGGTGCGGCTGCTGATTCACTCCCACACCTCGTTTCAGTTTTCGCTCTTCAAAAACCCAACGTGCGCCGCATTATTCCTTAGCTCTGCCTTCTCCTGTCGGCTGTATTGTTGTCACCGTAAAGTCTCCCTTTTGAGGAGTGTTTCATTGGTCGTCCAGCGCCAGACAGGAGGTGTATAATCTGTTTTCTCCTCAGCGCACTCCGCCCCTTACCGGCTTAAAGGCCTGCCCACTCCAGGCTTGTGTGTGACTGCTGGGCCTGGACTTTGGACTGCAAGCAGCTCCACTATGAATGACTGAATGTTTTCTTATTACCACAGAAATCACAGAACAAACCACTGGAGTGACACAACTCTTCTGGCATCTGACAAACATAATATTTTGTTTTATGTGACTGATAATCAAACAATCAACCTGCTCATTTAGCTACAACAGGAAATCAGATTTGTCTTACTACTTATTTTTGTTGCACTTAACCTGAAATTTGTGATCACTTAATGCCAAAAGTAACCTTACTGTTAGAGAAAATTTTGACACCATAAGAAGAAACACAAAACTTCTCAGTCATCCAGGTCATGTCGTCTAAAGAGCTTCCGGAACAGTGGAGTTCAGCTGCTTTTTACTGAAAATCTTAGGTTTAACTATTGCAAAAAGTTGTTTCTAAATGAGTTTTGTGGTAAGTATGTTTTCTTTTTCAGAAAAGGAGAAGCCTTTCTTATGATCTGCACACAGTATATCTTCCCGCATACAGTTTTACTCACATGATGGCAGCAAGTTATATTAGTTAGGGTGCTTTACATTTAGTTTTTATAATTTTCTGCTGTCTTACACACTCACATTTTATATCTTTTTCTTTACTTGTCATCTTCTAGTAGTGTCTGTAAAACTAGATTGAGAAACCCAGTTGTGCACATACAGCAAACTCTAGTAGTTTCATTTATATAATAAGAAATCGTCAATAAACTGGTATCATCCTCTTGTGATACAGCTTTGCATGTTTCTCGATGGACACCCAGCTGCAACTGAGACAAATACAGATTCAGAAGAGTTAAATGCAGAGCATCAACTTGACCGAACTAACTTTCTTGATCGATGATGCCATCTGTAGGTCACAGCCATAAACACACTGCAGAGCCGCCTTACAAGCACTAAGAAATCACACAAAAACAGAAGCCACAAAAATCTACGTTTGATTAAGTTTTTTTTTTTGTTTTTTTTATTGCTTTCATTTCCAAAGAGCTCTCTGTTATCTGGAAAAAACACAGCAATTCCAAGCCGAACTGAGGTTTTCCGTCTCATATACTTCACTGCAAAACCCTGTCAAATGCATATTTCCATTCATTCAGACCCATAAAAAGGTTCTGTTTACGGGAGGCAGCCTAGTTCAGTGAGGGCAACAACGCTTGGAACTGAAAGTTTCTATTTTGTTTCACACATAATCTTTAAAGCTTTCAATTACACTTACCTTCATAATACAGCGATTATGAACACGTCTCACATTTTCTCATCCAGCTGAATGGGAACTTCAGAGTTAATTAAAAAAAAACAACAAAAAAAAAGCAAAACTCTCTGAGAGTATTCATACAACAAAGATCAGCAAATAGAATATTTTTACTTTACTTGAAATGGCATTAGAGGTGATGGCAGCTACTCCTGGCCACACTGTGATCAATCCTAGGGTTATGTCAATAAAATAATTTCATATTTTCATTTCCTTCTTTTGAACAACAACAACACTTTGTGCTGGGCCAGGTGTGAACAGAGCGTTGATCGTTAAAGGGTGGCCTGTTTGATATGATTTGAAAATTTCACGTTATACAGGAGGACGATCCTGATCCCCGTTGTAACAAAATAGCATTAAAAAGTTGAGGACATTGATATAAACCAGTTTGGCACTGAAGTTGCAGGATATTTTCAAAGCAGCCGTTTTCAGTTAAAATGAACAAGTAGACAAAAATGTTTATGACAATGCAGTGATAGTTTAACCATCTACGAAAGAATGCTGGGTATCTATATCAACATGTTCCTGCTGTAAAAACAACCAATGACAAAATGTAAAACCAGAAAGATAGGAAGTGGTTCAGACCATTAGAAAACAGTATAAAATGACATCCTTAAAAAGAGGTTTCAGAGTTGAGAGTAAAAATGCCAAAAATGCAGTCTCTGATGCAGTCTAAACCAGCGGACATGTCACCATTAAAGCATTAAAAAGCACCAAATGTGCATGGACACATGTACAAATGTCCCAGATATGCGTAGAAAAGAAAAGAGTCCGGAGGGGGACAGGACGGGCGGATGCCACCCGAAGGAGACAGCGTATGGAAACGAGGTTGAGCCGACTCAGTGAGGATGGGGCTCTTTGCTGTTCAGGACACGAGCGCGACTTGAGGGGACTGTAGCGCTCCGGATCACCTCCATCCACCTGTGGGCAGAGAAAAGCTTTTTATATTAATCCTCAAACATCTGCAACAGAACCGCAAAAATGTGAATGCGGACGGTGAAGGCGGCGCACCTCTCGAAAGTGTATTCGCTCTCTGATCGGAAGTAGTAGACGTGGGACTTGAAATGCAGTTTGAAGACGTAGTCCTTGTGGATGTTTTCAGACTCGGAGGGGATGGTGACTGAGTAACCCAGCAGTGGAAGGCTGGCCAGCGGATAATCATCCTGTAGGAAAGAGACGAGAACAGTAAGTCGAAATTTTGTTTAAATAATCCCACAAGTAATATGAGATAACCTATTCAAGTAAATCTGAGAAAATTTGACACAACCCTTATTCCGTTCCATATTAATGCCCATATGTCATGCCTCCTGGAGTTTCGCTTTCTGTTAAACTACGGCCATAAAGGATGGAGGAGTAAAACAGCTTCAAATGAATCATTTCACATAACTAGAGGTTGAAATAAAATGCCTATAAAACCTTCATAAAACTCAGCATTACGTCCATCTGGGCCTAAAAATGTACTATTTAGTTACAACCTAATACTTATTTTACTTTACTGGCACTTATTGGTCTGCATGGACCCTCATTTAGTTGGTCTGTGGCCTGTGAGAGGTGCAATTATGAAGAGAAATTCATGATAATGTTTTCTATTAAATCTGAATAGAAAGTCTGTGGGGATGAGGAATAATGCATTTGATCTGATAGCTGCAATACACTTTTATGAATCAAGTTTTGTTGTTATCGAACTAGTTTATTTTTACAATACTTTTGGTGTGAGTCATGTTCATGACATCACATCTTTATCCAGTTTGTAACCAGCATCACTGAGCGGCTTTTAGTAAAACCTGCTGTCGTCTTCCTTTAATTGAAGTATGCTTTTAAAACATTTAGTTCCAAGCACTTCTCTCTATATTTTTTGAGAGGGATGGTGCAGAGGAGGTCAGGAACTAGAGGCGGGTGTACGTGCCCGCATGGTGTGCACCCAGGCGACTTGGCCATCTGCTCGCCCCACTGGAAGTATGTTTAACTTGCTACATAGCTGTGCACCTCAGTGTAAACTCAGCGGCATAACTTAACACAACTTTTAAACCTACAAACACATTTTTAGCTCCTCATGCATGTTTTATACATTCATATGGCCTTACACGTGGTCCGTGCTGAATTTAAAAGCACGACGACTGCTGGTTCTTGTAGTATAAAAATTGTTTAGTCCAAAGGCAGCCGCTAAACATCCTTCTGACGAGATGAAAAAAACTGCATGGGAAAGTGTGTTCACCTCTAATATTGCACACAGATTTGATATTCTACACTGAGCTGTGATGCTTTAAAGCCCAGAGGAGAGAAAAAAACAAACACTTTGACTGGCGTAGTGCGAGGACGGCGGTATGTTCGCTGGGCAAACAGCAGGACTCGAGAGCGTTTGTTCGTCACCTGGTGAGACTTGTAGAAAAACAGGCTGAAGTTGGTGAAAACCACCCAGAGCTTCTGCCAGCCGTTGCTGTTCTTGAACTTCCTCAGTAAGTTTCCCGATAGCTGATTCTACCGAGAAAAACGAAACAAGACAGCAAGTTAGATTCTGAAGCGATAAAAAGTCACACACATAACAGTGAAAGAGCTCTAGTAAAGTAATCATGAAATTTAACTACTACTATAAATCTACTGTTGCTAAGCACTGTGTCTTTCTCATGTTTTATTCTCTAAAATAATGATTCCCAACCTTATTTATCCAACGTACTCTCACTACTCTTTAGATGAGTCAGAAACAAATCTCTTCATTATCTTCAAAAGTGTTCCATTGAATTATTTTGACCTATTTAAAAGATAGTTTTTACTTTTTCTATCCCATATTAACACTGAAACAGGTTTTACTTTCTGTAATCACTCCTTAAATCAACAGTGGACATTTAGATATATTCCTAACATGTTTCCAGTATAAATGATTTCTGATTCTGTGGATAAATATATTGCAAAGTTAATACGAAGCTAACATGAAGCTTCAGCAGTTAAAAGTTTGTCATATCAAATAAGTATCTACTAAAGTCTTTATTAGAAAAAAATGCTTGTTAAGTTGTAATAGAGGGATTGCAGCACACAGAGGATATATTTCACTGAAGGAAAAACTAACTTTGGACGATACTCACTTGATTTATTTAGCTTTAGTCAGCTCAAGTAGCATCAACTTAACTTTATAAGGTGATTTTGTGCAGAATGAAGACTCTTTTATACAGAAAGTGAAGAAAATATTCACATTTAAGAAGCTGCAATCGCAGAATTTAGTTTTTATTTTTTTAAAAAAGTATCCTGATTCTAAAATCTGTTGGAGGCGACCAAATTGAAGCTAAAAATCTGGGTTTAGTCATAAATGTTCACTGTCTGGATTAAAATTTGAACTTTTTTGAATGGAGTTTGGTTCGATGAAGATTCATTAAATGGCTGAAACTAATAATTATTTTAATTGTTGATTAAAAAAAAATAACATTCTAAAAATGCCAAAAAACAGTGAAAACGTGGCGCTGTAATGTTTCCTCAAATGTCTTATTTGTCCAAATTCCTCACATATGATTCCCTTGTGCCCTTCGACTGGCAGCCTGTCGGTGCCTTTAACAGCTTTTTTCTGGCCACCATGGCTTTAGGTTTAGTGTTATATCGCCTCCTGCTGTTCAACCTTTGATTTATGACAAATTTGAGTGTTTAGGAACCAAATCTTGAGAACACCTCATATATAAGAGTAGATATCGTTTCAATCAAGTTCATATGTAAATGCAGTGTCTCTTTGATTCTGTACTTCCTTGTTAAACCTATTTGAGTGGCTGCAAATTAATCTGACACGTCTGATGATTGATGACTTCCCTGCTTGCTTAGTAATTCCTTGGATGCAGTGTTCAGATGCTGTAACTGTGAAAATGAATACAGTATATTAAAAGGTGCTTCAGGCCCCCAACACCGCTATAAAGCATTCGTGTCTTTATTTTGTCTTAAAGACAAATGTGCGGGTATGTTTTTAATTATTGCTATCTTTTATCTGAACATCAACCCCCCAGACAACTGCATGCACAGCTGGGAATCACTGCTTTAAAAGAATAATTGAGACAACAGCTTGCAAGAGCTTGTGGCCCCACTGCACTATATTGCGTCTAATTATCACAGTGCTTCTACGATATATTTAATTTTGGATCTTCAGTCTCTATAAAGCCAATCAATATGTCAGTGTGAGGCATTGGTGTAACCTTAATTCCGTTTTATTTTGTTCTATTAAATGTGCCTCTTGTGGTGCAGTTGAAGTAAACACATACACAGGGCCTCTCCTGTCTGCCTGGCTCCTTTACCTCTAGACTCCTGCAGGATTCACTAAAGGAGAGGCTCTGAACACGGTACCAGCAGATAACAGACAGAGGCACTGGTCCCTGGCCACTCGGGGGCCCCACCGGGGGGGCCTTATTCTCACTGACTGGACTAGGCTCCTCTACCACGGAGGAATGCACAGACGTATGGGGAAAAGAGAAAGAAAGGAAGAAAGAAAGACAGAGAGAGAAAAAAAACAGACAGGGGGAGGGACAGAAACACAGAGACTGAGTCGGTGAAACACAGGCATGCAGTGACAGGGGTTAACACGCAGGCCGACGGTGTGTCCAGGCTGTGAAGAGGACATTGTTACAGCTACAGAGGAAGAGCAGAACTAGATTCAGGACGCAGCTGGGTCGTAGTGAGGCTACGTCCCGAAAAGCAAAAAAAAAAAAAGATCCGTTCTGTTAATGTGAGATGAGGACGTTTAGCACATCTACGTACTGCTCTCTCTATTTATAGACTTTAAGTGCCAGGAAAGGGAGAAAAAGGACAGAACCACACAGGAAAGCCACAGTTTTAGATTAGGACATCACGCTGGCTGCTGCTGAGCCAAAGGAGGGAAAAGTGGGAACAGTGACCTCGCCGAGGCTCTAAATACAGAGAATGAACAGCTGTAACAATCACTGATGCAAAATTTCCAGGGTTCACTTTCAGTTTTGTTTTGGAAGATAGCTGGATTTTTAAAAAGCAAATCAGTTTAAAGGTGCCCTGTGGGGATTGTATCCACCAGCAGCAGCAAAAAGGAGTCAAGGAGTCATGCTATTCTGCTGATTTACAGTTGGTGGTGCTAACTGAACAACACAGACCGAGAGGATAAAGTGTAAACAATGCATGATTAAAAAATAGATTAAGACGATGAATGTATTACACTTACAACTAGTTGTTTAGGAATCTACTCATCTGCAAATGTACTGCTTTGGTTCACTAACATCATTCTTCTTGTACAGCTTTCTGCAAAAAAGCTCTAAAATCCCTCAGTACACCACCTGCTCATCGCCAAGCGTTTTACAGCATTTAGCATTCAACGAGCCAGGTGTTTCCTTCAGGAGTTACTAGACAAAATCAGAGCTAAATAAGAGTGACTGTTGGATTTAAATCCTCAAGCGGACACAAACATGGATCTGAATTAAGAATAGTTTAGCTCTCTAACTGCTAGATGTGTAAATAAGAAACAGTTTGCCATCCATCCATCCATCCATCCATCCATTATCTATACACTGCTTAATCCTCACTAGGGTCGTGGGGGGCTGGAGCCTATCCCAGCTGACTTAAGGGGACACCCTGGACAGGTCACCAGTCTATCACAGGGCTACACTTACAGACAACAAACCAAGCACACTCACATTCACACCTACGGACAATTTCGAATCACCAATTAACCTCAACATGTTTTTGGACTGTGTGGGAGGAAGCTGGAGAACCTGGAAAGAACCCACGCTGCACGGGGAGAACATGCAAACTCCACGCAGAAAGATCCCGGGATGCGAACCAGCAATCTTCTTGCTGCGAGGAAACGGTGCTAACCACCGATCCACCTTGCAGCCCTGGTTTAAATATCAACTTTTCAAATCTTTTATGCGGAGAGAAATACATTCTGACATATTTGTTAAAGTCTAGGACACATGATGTATTCTTTGAAGGTGTGGACATAACTTTCGTTTGCAAGAAAACCTCACGGGGCACCTTTAAAGAGATTCTCTAGCAAATTTTACGTCACTAAGCATCCAAAAGCTTTGATTTGAAGCCACCTAGATTTTCTATTTTTTTGTTTTTTATTGGGGTTTTATCTGTTTTTGATTTCACAATAAAAGCTGTTTTTGTTTGTTTTTTTCCCAAATCACTCATAAAAGTGTTTTCTAGTAAACTGTTGTGTGAAACAGGTTAGGCGCAGCGCAGCACAGGAGGATACTGTTCCCACTGAGACGTCATCAAAGTGCATTCAGATACGGCACAGACTCAGAAACAGAGAAAGAAAACAGCGAGGCAGGAGGGAGGGGGCAGGTCTGAGGTTTGGCCGATACCTCCACAGCTATGCTAAAGTCCACCATGGACACACTGGTGTTCCTGTGCCAGCACACGTGCACCATGGTGTTACCACGGTGAGGGGCGGGCCTCTCCAGCGAGGTGTGCGGAGCTGTCATGTCGTCCTCGGACTCTGCCTCCACCGAGGAGTCCTCCGGGCATTCTGGGAAAGTCAGGAGGTTGTTACTGCTAGACAACGAGCAGGGTGATGGGTGGAGGGGAAAGAGAGAGGCGCTAAAACACAAACAGTGTCAGATCAGATCAAAAAAAGCATCTGGGATTTCAGTCGGTGTGGATTTTACTCATACGTACTTTCTGACAGTTATGTTTTTTCGCTGCTTCGTTTTCACATCGAACAAAGCGGACTTGTCACGCTCGGCTGTTTGTTTACGTTGTAACTTACTGTTGTCTGTCAGGTTGCTGGTCAGCAGGTCAGATGAAGGCCCGTTGCTGGTTTTGGCCATTTCTATCGCCATCTTTACGTCTTCCATCCACTTCTCCATCTCTGTTAACGAACTAGAGTGAAAAGCACACAAAATGGATAAAACGCTGAGCGAAGCAGACACAAGTCACAGCAGGGTGTCCTGGTGGTCAGAGAGAGAACAAGAATATTACAAGTCTGATCTTGGTTAGTCCAGGTGTCCTGCCAAATTCTCCTTTAACCAAGACACCATCTGCTCATAGATGGAAAATGAACTAGCAAAATGAAGGCAGGGCGTACTAAAGCTCATCAACAAACAAAAAATGGAAATGTATTAAAGTTTATTTGCTAAAATCACATTAATTCTTAGTGATAGAGATACTGTTTGCTTCTCCACTATGCTACGTCTGTTACTGGCAGCATCTTTTTCTGGTTAAATAAAGATAAATTGCCAAAAACTAGCAATTAGCAGTAGTATTTTTTTCCAGCCTCCTCTGCCGTCCTCCTCTCAGGATGCAATCTGAGGGTAAGACTGTAGATTCAGTGGAGTCTAAGAGGGCAGAGAGACCTCACATCAGTGACTCTGCCCATAAAGCTTAATTGCAGTGAGCTCACTGTAACTAAAGGTGACCTAGATGAGCAGATGAATGTTTGGTTTTTCTTCTTCTCTCCTTTACAAGACGATAGCCGGGACGGCTTTGTTTACAGACATTTTAATGAGTTCTTGATTCTTGACAGGGAAACATTACAGCCCAAACCTTTTCCAATAAGGCATGTCTTTTTTTTGTCTTTACTCTGAAATCCTAAAGATGCACACAGCCACTTTGGGTTAACTTTATGCGTCCGTGCTGTGACAGCCGCCGGTCTTACCTTGCTGCCACAACCACCGACTGTCGTTGTCCAACCAGTGTGAAGGCGTGAGGAACACCCCACTCATCCTCGCTCTCTCTGATCTGGAGAAGGAACACAGAGACACAGAAAAGACATTAGAGAGCGGCGGTATCTAGGACAGCAAAGACCAAAATAGACAAGAGAGGGAGAGAAGGAGAGTGAGTGAGGATGAAAAGGAGATGAGGGAGAGAGAGGAGGACATGTGTAGCTGTCCTGAAAGTCTGTGTGATGACGGTGTGTTGAGGTGGGGGGTAGATGTTGAAAGGGCCGCAGTTCAGCCGTTTGAGGCAGCTTATGTCCAGTAATGATAACGTGGCGACAGCTCGGCGTCGATCCGAGAGACGCGGCACTTACTGTCATGTCGTGGAGCGGCAGCTGCCCGTGCACTTTGAACTGATTGGTCGCCGTCATCCCTCGACTCGTGTACAAAATGACGTCGTTAAACTGTCGGCGGAGAAAGACAGAAAAAACACAATGTAAATAAACAATCTTTTAGATAAATGACGGCCAGCCTGCTTGATGTTTATATTACTAAACCAAATATAGGAAATCCAATAAATATAAATCTAACAAGGAACAAACATGTCATAACAGCCGCCTGGACAAATCACGAACTTGAAAATGTTAGCGGAAGAAAAACAGCAAAGAAATGATAAATATTCTAACACACCGTTCTCCAGCATACATACTAGGAGTGGAGCACCTCATTATACGATACTGTTACGATATTCGCACTCACTGTAAGACAATCATCTATGATACATCACAATGTTTGTGTAGCTAAACAAGATACACCCCTAAAAAGGCAAAAAGCAGGAATTGTGTATTTATTCACTGCATTGTGGCATCATTGTGTGTGTACTTTATGATCATTATTCAATTTACTACAGTGTTAATTTAGGTTTTTTTTTTCTAAATTGCTTTCCTCGTCTTATTTACTGCAGGTTAGTTAACTTCTGTTTACATTTATTTGATCAGCAACACCACAAGTAGTCATGAATCAGTCAAATCCTGGGAATCCGATTAAATGGATTTCTTAAAGGATATTTAGCACCAGTGTAGTGATAATGTTCCACAAGAGGGAGTGATACTAAACACTGCCTTGTTTAAAAATTTACTACCCACCACTAATATACACTTTCCTTTTTTAATCTCCATGTTCATATAGTATAGAAGCAACCACCCCACTTGTGTGAGGCTATCAAAGTTTAAAGCAACAAGTGTTACTCTTCTCTTCATCTGCATTTGCACTTCATCTGCCAACACCATCTGAGCCACGCATAGCGGGAACGGATAAAAGGAGGGTTGTTTTTCTGCTGAGATCACTCGGCTAAATAATTAGATTAGTGACATAAACTGAAGAAATCGGGGTGTTACCAGGAAAAACATTCGTTGCTGTAGGCCTTTTCCTGACAGTTTGCTGAGGCAACCTAACCTGATGAACTCCTGAGAAGAGAAAAAGAAACACATATTTCATTAGTCACTGTACTGTATGTGGGGTCGCTTTTTCACGAGTAGAAACATAATGTAGTTGTGGGGAAACCTAAAGAACCAAAACATTTTTCCTGTCGGTTTTAAACTCACCCGACCAGGAGCAACAAGATTGTCAACGCCAATCAAATCCTTCTTCAGCTCCAGCAGCTTCTGGAAGTTCTCCATCTTGACGAGGCTCGCCTGGAGCTGATCCACCACCTCAGACACGTCCGCCAGAGCAGCTACAGGCCAAACACAGGTTGGATGTCATTGAACAAACACTTTTGGATCATTTTTTGCTGCACTAGAAAACTCAAATGTGCTTCTATGAACTCAGGCCAGAGTGTGGCACCTCTGCAGTCCCTGAAGTCCACGTGAGTAGCTGGGTAGTGTTTGCACAGACGCTCCAGGATCTGCTTGTAGTGAATGAGGCGGTGCAGAGGCCGCAGGATGAAGACGTTGAGGGGGATGTAGCAGACCTTCTGCAGCTCAAAGTCCCTGCAGAGACCCTCCAACTTGCGAGACGCTTTGCACGCCTTCTCCAGCTCCAGCAGAACCTCCGACTGCTTGTTCAGGTTTGTTGTCAGGGGCTACAGACGCAGTTGTTTGATGTGAGCAGCGATGCATTAATGCAATTAAAAGATGTACGAAAGTTTTACATTAAGTCACACCTCACCTTCAAACCTTGGAGGTTCTTCAACATGACGTCTCCAATGCGTTGGTAGTCTCCTTTAATGTGCGCATTGGAGCGTCCTTCCCTGAAACAGAAAAACATGATTTAACTGTGAATTGTTGTGGGTTTATTTTTGAGGTCAAGCTTTTGCTGTTTGAGCATCTCAGCTTTGGTCTTTCAAAATCAGTGTTTTATAGTTTTTTATATTTTAGTTTTTTGTACTACTTGTTCTGTATTTTTATTGCATGCATTTTTAACCATTTAGCCTAGTTAGATCAATATATGTTCATGTGTATGTGTAATCGCTGATTGTTTTATGTGTAAAATCCACATGTAACATGCATGTATTGTAGACTCCTTTTGTTTCTTTATCCTGGTAAAGCACTTCTTCTCTTTGAGCTACATAAACACATCTTGTTACTGTCACAATGGACAGTAAATTAATCAACAAAACTATATAAAAGCAATTAAAACTTAGTGGTTATTCAGAGGCCTGCAATGTGGCTTGGTGGTTAGCACCGTCGCCTCGCGTCCCGGTGAGGACACCCGGGATCTTACTGCGTGGAGTTTACATGTTCTCCCTGTGCAGCGTTGGTTCTCTCCAGGTTCTCCAGCTTCCTCCCACACAGTCCAAAAATATGTTGAGGTTAATTGGTGATTCTAAATTATCCGCAGGTGTGAATGTGAGTGTGCTTGGTTGTCTGTCTCTAAGTGTAGCCCTGTGATAGACTGGTGACCTGTCCAGGGTGTCCCCTGCCTTCACCCTAAGTCAGCTGGGATAGACTCCAGCCCCCCCGCGACCCTCGTGAGGATTAAGTGGTGTATAGATAATGGATGGATGGATGAGTTTTACTTCATTCAAGAAAAAAAATCCAATAACGTCAAAGTGGGCTCCTTCAACTTTTAGAGATCCACCAGCAGGTGTCTCCCTTGAGCCCGACATTCCTCATACATGGTACAGACTAATGGGGCTGCCATTACTGGACTTACTCAGAATATTTATTAATTTGGTATAACCTTTTAGCAGGGGCTTGAGGGAAACATAACTCAGCCTGTAAAGCACATCCTACCTCATCTCTGACGGACAGCTTTCTAATTACATCCACAACACCAAAGGCCCACATCTACTATAATGTTTGAATATGCAAAGCCATAAAAGAGACACATGTAATGCCGGATAATTTGCATACACATTTGAATGTGGCTCTTATCAGCAGAGTGAAGCACAATATCACTTTCAGCTTTAATTTGGAGTTCTAACGACTGTGACTGGCCTCCATAGACTTTGAAATAAAAAGAACAGTCTGCAGTTAATGGCCGTAAATTTTAATCTTGACGGGCTTTATGCATCACTGTCTCCATGTCTGCGAGTGTGTGACAGAGAGAGAGATTCAGCGTGTGCTACATAAAGCACAACATCATTAAGGAGATCAGACAGCAGAAAGCCACGGGCAAGAAAAAGGCCGGCTATGGTGCAGCATGAGTGTTGCCATGGAGACGGTAGCTCCGCGGGTCATCTGAAGGGACTGGGTCGACCTCTCGGGCTAAATGCCAATAAATCTCATTAAAAAAATCCAAAAAAAAATCGGGGCAGCAGTTGTGATAAATTGGACCGAAACCAAACCAACAACATCGCTGGGCTCGTTCTGAACCCCCGCAGGGGAATATCTGGTCTTACCACAGAGCCAGCCTCTGCTCCACCTCCCTGAGAAAACCTGTGTGGAACTTGTGCAGAGGCTCGAACGTGGAGAGGATGGTGTTCTTCAAGGAGTCTGGAGTCGCCTCATCTTGTCCTACAGCACTCTGGAAAGACTGAGAATACAGATAGATGCATACAGGTTAGTAAACACACAAGAGAAACCTACTGGTGAACATATTTTACACAGAAGTCTGACACATGGCCATCTTTAAGGCAAAGTTGTAAACTGGAGAGGAAATCCTTCAGTCACACTACAACAATTTGCTTTTAGAACTTTATCTTATCTAAACAGTAGGACAGAGTGCTGTGCAGATTTTAAAGTCCCTTGAGGCAAATTTGTAATTTTGGACTGAATATGAAAAAAAGGACTTGACTCGACTGTAATACCACAGTTATTAAGAGAGATACCACAGGGATCTTCCAGAGTGTTCCCTTGTTTTTAACAGATAAAGCGACATCGCAGGCAGCAGGGAAGTGGACAAATTAGGTATTAAACTGCGATGCAAATGTAGTCTCTTTACTCTGCAGGAGGGATATTTTCGAAGTCTCATTCTTGTTAAGAAGTTAAAAAGTTATCCTTTCTCACAAATGCTGACCTGTTCAAGATCATAGGATCTCTTTAAGTGTCTCTAAATCCCTTAATGGGCCGAGGATGAATAGAAGAATCAATAGTCAGTCATTCTTAACGCTATTGCTTCATTAAGCGAGATTGGATCCAAACGTTGCATGTTTTTGTGTTTGTTTACCACGGTCGGGGGGAAAAAAAGAGCTTTATTTAGCCGACGTGATGGGAAAGGGAAGTGGGTTTTAGGAAAAATGAGTGTTCTTTAGAAGGGCATGGAGAAGAAGCAGCAGCTGTTGTTCAGATGACTTCACCCTCAACAGCAGCAGTAACAGCAGCAGCACCAAGCAGCATGGAAAGAGAGCGAGAGCACACACACACAGCTGAAAAAAGAACAAGGACACAAGCCAACCCAAATATTTATGAGATGTGTGAAAGGCTTCTCTGAAAATTGCAAGACGAGAGAAGCTGGTGCTTTCAAAGCTGCCAATAGAAGGAGCGATGCACTTTCTCCACGTGCCCAATCAGACAACAGCGGTGCTTCAGTACAGCCTCATAAGAACATCCTCCGTGTTTGCAGCCGAAAGGAGCCGCGCCGCACATTTAATATCCTGTTTTCAGCTGCGTTTACTTTGAGATATTATCAGATGAAACGCTGTCCATGTGCTCTCACCCAGCCAATGAAATCTGACTGAAGCAGGGAGTCGCATGCAGAGGGAACATGCGGCTAAACCCATCTATCTCTTTAAAAGACAAACACGGTTTAGTATTCACGGGCTTGAATGAGACAGACAAATGCATTTCAGAGTGTGGGCAATGAATAAAAAATGAAATCGCATCTGCCAAAATATCCCCGTGTCACTGCCCGACTCTGTGTTTTGGCGGGCGCTCTGCAATGGAGCAGCTAACCGGAATAATCAATGTTTTCTCCCCAGAGGACAGGCGCAGCAGAAAACAAACAGTGGAGCGGCGTGTTGGCGAGCGACGTGGCCTGTCCTTACCACAGTCACCACCTCCAGGTCCTTCACATACGTCCTTTCTGTGGTCAGCAGCTCCTTGGCGATGAAGTAGGCTCGATCTGTTGGAAACCTCTGCAAAGGCATCACAGCAGAGAGGAGGTAGTGAACAAAAACAGCTCGATGATGTGACTATGAGCAAGTCCAACAGTGTGTTTGGTGTCTCATCATCTGGGCCTCAACTTATAAGGCTGGTAGTTCAGTGTTGTAGGAGCCTGGTGCAAGAATATTACAGATTAGAATGACTTTCTCTAATTTGACAGTAGCGTGGAGCGTAATGCAAGTATTGAATTGCTTTTAAAATATGACGACAAGTGTATGGAGTCTTGCCAGATGTCCGTGGTGTGTCTGTGTAGGTGTGCTATATGTTTGATGGCACTCCTTCAATATGGTTACGTGAAACTTTTGCAATAGGAAACTTTTAGACAAAAGGCCTTCTGTTTGATTTTGTTGCTTTTTAAGGTTGTTTGGTGCCTCATCATCTGTGCCTCAACTTATAAGGCTGGTAGTTCAGTATTGTAGGAGCCTGGTGCGAGAATATTACAGATTAGAATGACTTTCTCTGATTTGAAACATACTTTGACAGTAGCGTGGAGCACAATGCAAGTATTGAATTGCTTTTAAAATATGACGACAAGTGTCTGGAGTCTTGCCAGATGTCCGAGTCACTGCCTATGTGTGTCTGTGTAGGTTTGCTATATGTTTGATGGTACTCCTTCAATAGTGTTATGTGAAACTTTTGCAATAGGAAACCTTTAGACAAAGGGCCTTCTGTTTGAGTTTGTTGCTTTTTAAGGTTGTTTGGTGCCTCATCATCTGTGCTGCCCGTCTATAACCCATTTCTCCTTACAGGAAAATACTAGACTTCAGTCCCAGTGGGGGATTTATTTAGGTCCAGCGCTATTTTGAGTACATGACAGCGGCTTTGAAGCATAACTTGAGAATAAAAGTCTCAGAAAACAAAGCAACCTATTGAAGCGATTCTTGTTTACAAACCTTCCTCCGAACCTCATCCTCGTCGTCGGTGCGAACGCTGCAGGCGTCGTTGAGCAGCGGGCTGGTGAGGGGCGAAGGCTGCCGGCCGTCGGGACTGTGGCTGCACAGCTCCAGCGTCTTCTGACCGTTGACCATCGCGTGGGAGTGTCCGGGGGAGGCGGACAGGTGAGGGCTGTTGGAAACCACACCTGCACGGATATCGTACGGTGGTCACAACCAGAGAAGAAAAAGTTAGTTTGCAGTTATTCAAATATTCATGAAAACACAACAGCACAACAAATCTGGGGGAAAGATTGCCAGCATTTGCATTCTCCTACTTCAGCTCTCAGATGGGTGGAGTTTGGAACATTGTGACTAATAATAGTAATAATCTGCATTGCACATTCTCTGTTTCCAGCTACTCAAACGTGTCTGCTTTTTCTCTGGATTATTTTACTGTTATAGCTGCAGCAACACATTTGAAACACCTTGAACTGTAGAAAAGTGACATTTTTCACTATCGTCTGACATTTGTAGAGTGAAGATGTAATTGATAAATCATCTAATCAGCATATTAATGATAATGGAAATACAGCTCTGCAGAAAAAGTCCAATTCTAAAGACACTGTAGTGACATTTTGGTACCAATTAAACTTTCCAGCGTTCGATATATAACATCCAACATATCAGAGTTCACCCAATGGGCTGCTTTACAGGCCATACCAAACTCCTTTAGTCATTCACAGAGGCTGTTCGACCCACAATCAGAGCCTTCTTCTGCCGCACAATAAAACATAGTGAGGTGTAGCTTGGGAGGGGGAGATCTGTCTGGAGAAATTGAAAAGTCAGCCATGACTCACTTTACAGCCCAGACAGCTCCGGCAGCCTTTGTACCACGTCAATCAATACGCAAGCTGAGACACATACTGCCGGATGATCAAGTGGAACGGCTTACTTAGTGTCATCTAGTCTGGCAATGTTCACTTAGCTTACTTACTATGTCTTAGCTGCAACTTGCCCACCTCCCTCGGCTGTTTTCTGGTGCGTCGGCACAAACACACCAGCGCAGCTCGCGGTTGCAATTAGCTCAACACACCGGCATCGACATTTAATCGAAACGCTACTGAGGGAAGGACAGACGAACATGCAAGAGTTCTACAAGTGAGTGCGGGTAAGATTTATGTACAGACAGTCACTACACTACACAACACTACAAAGGGAAAATTCTACTATCTACAGTGAGCACCAGACTCCAGTCAACATCACCTGCTCAGGTCTCAAAAAGTAGATTTGGAAAATCTCACTTTATTGCCTTTATTGACTCTAGTGTAACATAAATACATTGTTAAAGATTATAAAGCAGCATAACAAGGCTAAAGCCCAGAGAATGTCTAGAGGGACAGCGTGAGTGAATGAATGAGAGAGGGACAGATCAAAAGAGTAGAAAAAGAAATGTGACTTCATGCTTTATTTTCTAGGCCTCATCTATAATTTAATATAAAAATAGGTGTTTGAATAAACAGCTTATTGTTCTGATTCTGTTACTGCTGAGATAAAATCGTCACAAGATGGTAATAAGGAAATACACATTATCCAGTAATGGAGCACAAATCAGTTTTACATTAAATTTACGTCGTGACACAGCGAGTTGTAAAAATACTGTATATTTATACACCTTACAATCTGTTTGAACATTCTCCAAATCTTCTACGGCATAACGCTATGATGAAATCACAGTGAAGTGAAAGAGAGCGCTACCTGTATATTACAGTACATACAGCAGAGTACATGCAGAGAGCAGCAAGGCCAGAGCAGCATGATGTGCATCACGCCGCCGTCCTGGTTTAGCGCAGCATGCATTGGAAACACACCCTGAAGGACACCAGTGGTTGAGAACACACACACACGCACACACACAAACGCATACACAAGTCTTTTCCACAGACCTGGGACTTTGCATCAATGCAACACACAGTTTATATGGGTGAGAGTTTAACAACAAAATGCAGAATATTTTGTTTGCTACGGCTGATAGTTATTCCAGGTCTATGGGAGAGCTTTGTGCACCAGAGAGGGCTTCCTAAACCCTGCAGTGATCCAGTAACTCCTAATAAAAAGCATCTTAGCTCTAATTTCACAGTGATACCGATTAAATCACGCAAAAGGTAGATTCCAATGTATCGTGACGGATGCAACTAACTGCAACTCAAACACACAAATAAGACCACCGTATCTCACTCGGATATGTTTTTTTAATGCCGACGCTAAAACTGTCTGGAAGCGCCGCAAAAGCAGCCGACTGTGATGGATGAGCCGAGAGACTCTGTGCTTTGAGGTGTTGCCCTTAAACTGCCTTTCACACATGCAGTCCACACACATACACAGATTCTAAAACCTGCCTCCGTTTTCCTGTTTATTCCCGAGCTCCTGTCATCTATAACCCAATGTTCTCTCTCCTCTGGAATGATTAACGGTTAGCTGGATCACTGCAGGAAAAGGGGAACCCAGACGCTGGTAATCTTGCTTTTTTTTTTTTCTTGCTTTCTTTTTTTACACCACACGTAGTGAGTGACAGAACGGGTTTACACGCAGCCACAGTTGGGAAAAAACAAAAAAAAAAACAGACAAGTTATGACAGTTTCATGCTGACAGACAAGTGCTTACATTGGACAGAAAGAGAAAAAAAAAGAAAGAACAGAAATGTAACATAAAGAACATTGCTTCCTTAAACAGGTGAAACATAAATAAACATGAAGACAGGAGTGCAAAAGAAGACTGGAAACATAAAAGTGCAGTGCCATTTTGTTAAGCAGACAGCAAACTTTGCGGACGCCGTGGCCTTGGTTATTACTGCCGGCGATACTCGAACACAAGTCAAGTGCGGATGGGGAATGTCGACAGTGAACCACAAACAGTTTGTGGAGTGGCTAAACTACTACCGCAACACAAGTTTACATTCAGAGACGCTGCTGGCCTTTCTATGAGGTAACACTCACAAAACTATTGTGATGCTATGACTCCCTCTGTTGCGTTTCTTATCTATTCCGAACACGTTTGCAAATCGAAGTTTGTTCCAAGCTATTGAAGAAGGGATGATATTGTAAACATAAACAATACTGAATACCAATCAGATGCTCGCGTTGCCGTTCGCAGCGTATGGATTAGTTTTCCACTCAGACATCAAACATCTCAGACAGAACTCCTTCCAACAGTCGCACACCAGATGCTGCATTAGCGGTATTATTAACACAACGGGACCAAAAAGATTACTGTCAATAAATGCCTAGAAAGCTAACAATTACTGCCAGAATTATACACCAACAGGTCTTTTTCAGGCTCCACAGAAGATTAAGAATGAGCACAAACTGTGCTATGCAAAAAAAACTGTACAAAAAATGACCATCTTTGTCAAATGAGATCCATCTCTGGACAATTATGGAACAAAATGTGTAATTCTTATAGGAATTTATAAGGCATCTGAGGTTTAGAGACTGAGATGAGCCTTCAACAACAGTGTAATCAACCTCATGATATAAACAGACCCACAGATTTAGTCTCTGTATTTCTAAAATTGGTATCTATTAAGTGTGGAATCCTAACAAGGCACACGTGTTTGTCTGCAAGGACATAATAATATAATTAAAGAACAGGGATGCTGAACGTTAAAACCCCTCAATCCAGCAAACAAGCTGACCTTGAAAAGACTCCTTCTTTCGTGCAAAGAGGGACTTAAGCTATGCTGGGAAAGTGCTCTTAGTAGGTAGTGCTGTGCTGTGCTTAAGGAAACTACTGACAAAATGGAGTGTGGAGACTTGAGGAGTCTCCTGACAGAAACAATCTGTCACCCAGTGGACACCATTATGCCATCTGGGCCCAGATCAAACCCTTCAAACTCTCTCAAAGATGGTTTAAAGCTCTCTGTGCTCTAACAGCTGAAAATCTGTCCGCCATCCTCATCGCTGAAGGCATGGCAACCGTCCTCGTCCGCCTCCTCATCCAGCTGGAGGCTGCCAAAGGAAAACTTGTTCCTGGGTATTGGGGAATTAGAATTAGCCTCTACTGGATTACCAAACATCAAAGGGCTGCTGCTGTTGCCCCTGTTGTTCTCCACCTCAGACTCACTGGACTCTGACCCACTTGTGGCGCATTCGTTCATCTGAACTGCTCCCATATGTGCCACACCAGCTGGTCCCAATCGTTTCTGCCCCAGACTGGCCCGAGACCTGCCCGGTGCTGAAAGGCCGTTGGCCATCATGCGGCGCTCGAGAGCAGCCATGCGTTCGGCCCGAGACAGGACGGGACGCGACTCTTGCCCTGGTGAGACTGTTCCCTGGTTTGGGGCTGTGTCAGGGTGGTGACGGACTTTGTGGAGCTTCTGTAAGCGAGGAGATCGGCTCAGGCCGGGGGAGCATCTACCGTCATTAAACTGAGGGGGGCTGTAGCCGTTCTGCTCGGCGTAACTGATGGAAGGTGCCTGGTGGAGGATGTCAATGGCAGGACTGGCAGCGACAGTCCTTGAACTCATCATATGAGGAACTGTGACAGGGCTGCTGCTCTGCCTCTCTCTGGTATGGACACTGATGTCTCCCATTGTGCTATAGACAGGATCAACCTTTTGGCATGACTGCTTGGGAGACTGGACTAACTCATAGCTCATGTTGAGTGATGCTCTAGAAGGGGAGGGGGACTCCCTGTACCGCATCCTACCCAGAAAGTGCTCCTGCTGGGCCTGCAAAGCCCCGTTTATCCCCCCAGAGCCAGACCCCCGACGAGGCATGGCCTGCTCCCTACAGCTGTGATTTGACATTCTAGCCAGGTCCCTGCCCAAGAAATATTCACTATCTATGTCACTGCAGTCAATGTAGGGGATGGAGGAGCTGCTGCCTCTAGCAGCTCGAGATGCTGGACCTGTACTCAGATGTTCTGGGTGGGTCTGTCGTGTTGAGCCCCGTCTTTCTTCTGTCCTGGACACAGACCCCGCTCTGTCCTCGTGGCCGTTTCTCTGGTGGGAAGGACTCAGCCTCGTCGCCCGCGAAGCCGACGGGTCTTCTGCGCTCACCAGCGCCGACTCCTTCCAATGACGCCGAGCGGGGGAGTCGACTCTGTCCCCGGGAACACCACTCTGACAGCCGGAGACAGAGGCAGAGGGTTAAGGAATTTAAATAGGACATTTTATTCATTATTAATAATGACTAAAAGCTGGGATTCTAAATTAATTCTGCCTGACCTGACAATACCCTGTGGAGTTTTTGACCAACTGTGGAGTACCCTGCGGGTCGGTTTTGATGAGCAGGTTTGTATCTTGTGTGCTGCAGAATATGCACATGCACAGGAACGGCATAGTGCACATTCCTGCTAATGGGTTTTTGCTAACTGGCTGGTGGTAAAAAATGTTTTGCAAAACTCAGAAAAGAGGAGATTTCTGGCTGATATGAATATGGATGTAAACTCAACCTGCAAGCAGGTATACCAGGGTCCAAAGGTGCACTGAGCAGAGGTGAAAAGGGCTTGAGCAGGTGGTTTAACAAAGGTTTGTTTGTATGCACTGGCAGACTCGACACTCTCCTGCAACACTGGCAGGATCTGACCCAGGGGCTGTGGGGACGATATCTGTCTCCAAACATTTTTCAATTAATAAATCTGACTTCCATTCAGAGGTGTTAAAAGTTCTCCTACTTTGGGTAAAGTTCTTTGCTATAACTTTTGCTATTGCTATAGTGAATTATTTTCTTTTAAAATGCCCCAGAATGACATGAGAGCATGATGATTCCTGATAAGAAATTTGATGTGTAAGTTTTTAGTCCTCACAGGTACCAACAGGGTCTTGCTTGTGTAAATAGAAGCACAATACAGTGACCTCAACTAAATTCCTGAGGTGACACATGCAGCTGGACTCCGACACTCACTTCTGTTGGCACTTCATGGTGGCGTGGAGAAGGCAATGGCGACAGGCGACTGTTGTGTTGGACCCGACTGCTGTATTGGAACCGACTGTGTTTCCTGGCAGACAGGATGTTGAAGGTCAGTGTTATACTTTCTGAGCACCCCCGCTCATAGCAAATATGTCAAACACGTCTGCAGCCTTTACCTTTCAAATGGGATCTTTTTAAACTCAGACTCCCTCACATAATCAATCACCTGCTTCTGTGTGCGACCGCTGCAGAGATAAAGTACAAGGGAGATAATAATGAGTTATTCTGCAGGAGCTGTAGCGGACTGTTAAAATAATGGGTCGCAAACTCTCCACCTGAATCTGAAGGAGGAGCCTCGCGTGAAGAGCACAGGCTTGGGCTTGGGTTTGGGTTCCTCGAAGAGGCGGAAGAAGGCGTGATATTCAACACAGATCTTCCAGAAGACTTTACAGCAGTCCCTGCTGGCCATCAGAAACTCCAGAGTGTCCTGATATGAACTCTAGGGGACACATTAGGACATAAATTACAACACTAACCTCTGAGTTGAAGAGTTTTGTGTTGTGTTTAGTGAGTATAATCCAGCAATGTCGCTTACATTTAGATCTGGCCTCAGTTTGATGAGAAAACGCTTCCTCTTGAAGCTCAGTTTACGGACTTTAGACCAGTTGAAGGCGTTAATCCTCGTGTGTCCCTGAAGAGATGAAAAACATAATTAACCTTTAATGAAAAACGTTTATCACCAGGCATACCCACTGAAGCGAGCTAAGAAACACAAGACAAAATGCTTTTCTCAGTCAAGCCCAAAGTGTTTTCATGTCCACATTTGAACCACACTGATGACTTCTTAGACTATAAAACACACAAAGTACTGGTCCAACCAGCTGCTAGTTTGTAGGTGGCTAACTAGTGTGACTAACCTGGAAGACCAGGACACCTGTGTGCGCCACAGCCAGGCTTAACCTCGTGCCCTCGCGGTCCTTGGCAGGGTGGAGCCGGATCCCGTACATCTCCAACCTGCGCGCCACTTCTAGTAACTGATAGTCTGATTCTGCTGGTGTTAGACCTCTGCAACACAAAACGCACAGTAGCAGGTTAAAGGGTATTTGAAATTGAACGAGGTGTGTCAGAAGAGTTCCAGGACTGGTGTCACAAAAGATAGATTTCAACCCAAAAAACTACAAACTACAAGTTTTCCCCTTCAGATGATCAACCAGCACGTCTACAAAGAGATCCTGTTTGCTTCATTCAGTGCGAGAAGAGGTGAGAGTTGTGACAGGACAAGTGGTGGCTGCTTCACCATGGTAACGCGCCTGCTCACAACGCCCTGAGCATCCGACAGTTCCTGGCTGAGAAGTGCTGGAGGAACCTCCCTACTCACCCCACCTGGCTGCATGGGATTGTTTCCTCTTCCCCAAGCTCAAGGGGGTCATCAAGGGGACCTGTTTAGAAGATGTAGGCAACATCAAGATGGCTGTGACGACGGAGCTGCAGAGGATCCCGGAAGAATCCTTCCAGGACTGCATGGTAGCATGGCAGGGAAGGCTGGAAAAGTGCTTTAGACTCCAGGGGGATTACTTGAAGGGGAAAACTTGTAGTTTGGATTTGAAATATATCTTTTGTGACACGTGTCCTGGAACTTTTCTGACACACCGTACTTTTTTGGCAACAAATCTTATAAAAGCAATAATTAATTGATCCTACTCAAAAGTACTGTCTGTGTTGACATCAATGAGTCACCAATGGTGGGGAGTAGTAATTTATCTAGCAGTTAAACTACATTTGTATAGTGGTTTAAGCAATTCGATTAAAGTTTTCCCTTTTTTTTGGTAGTCAACTAATGAAACTACAAAACGATCTAGGCCACAAAAAATCGTATTTTTATTTGACCAATGCTGCTGTACTCAGAATAAACCCCTGTGTTGAGCCCCGTCCCCTTTTTGATTTTGCTGTGAAATCACGCTCAACCCAGGCAGCCACCGACACACACTTGACCTTTGTGTAGTGTTTGTGCAAAAGGGCGGGTGTTACTCAGTGCTCAACATCATCATGAACAAACCTCCTGAACCACAGCTTGAGAAAGATTCATCACATAGTTAAGCAAATACGTGACACTGACTAGCTCCACTGGCAAAAGCTATGTTTTTCCAGGTGTGTACGAAAACAGCACATTTTATTTTGTTTGGTTTACGTCTGACTGGTGAACCAGCGGGTACTTTAGTGGCTGAGTGGGTTGCTGGTATGTGACTTTTTTGTGTTATATTTTGTATCACTTTTGTCAGTTTAACATTTTTTTATTATTTTTTTTAAAAGTAGTTTGAACTACTTTTTTTCCAAGCAGCTGGGTTAACAAAACCAGAATCCTCCCTTGAGGTATCTTTGCTGTGCTTCGACTGAAAGGTAGCTTGCAAAATCTACGCTTTCAAAGCAGCTCCCCCAACACCGTGAGTCACACCAGTGCAACAGTGTGACAGGTTCCTTCAGCTAACAAACTGGGGCACTCGAGTTTGTTTTCCATCCTGCACACACACATCCTGCACCTTCTGCTGTAAATATTCAACAGAGTCTCGAACAGGTATTAATCAGCAGCGGAAAATAGTAGCAAACAAACGCACAATTTGCTCCTCTCTGAGTAAGAGTCGCTAAAACCACCGTGCCAAGCTGTTGGTTGTTTTTCTTTTTTCATGGGATTTGTTGCTTTATCATCTAACCTATATATTTGCATAGTAGAAAATGTTTTCCAAGCGCTTTTGGAGAAGATTAGAGTAAACAGCAATATCAAAAGGGCTAATCGGGCTGCCAGGGCACAAACTGTAACATTCATTATCCTTATAGCCAGTTTTTAGACAAATAAATTAAATCCCGCCTTATCATCCCGCTGTGTCTCACTAATTGAGGTGAAAGACCGAGACAGAGTGGATCCAGGTTTCTCATGTTTATCAGAGTTTTTGCGGCGCAGTGCTGGGAGGTTGGGGAGGGGCTGCAAAATGTTAACTAACTTTCCTAATTCTTATCAGCGGATAAGCCTTCCTGTTTCCTGTGTGTGGTACTTAATAAGAGATTTAACTCAGCATGGCACCCAGCCAGAAGAACTGCAGTTATCAACTAAGAAGGACCTGGCGTGGAACAAGAGCAAGTAAAAGAGAGCAGTCATATCTAATGGGGCTGCTTTCATGTTGCAGCAGCCGCCCACTGCGTGTCCATCTCTGGCGTGACACACTGTAATGCGGCGCTGAGACAAGTGTTGGCAGAGCTTTGGCTCGTATTCAAACTTGAATGATGATGAGAGCATTTTGAGGGAGGATGGTGCGAGGAGATCTGGAAGGTTTCCAGTAATAAACTCCCAACAGCACAAAGCTCTTAAACTAGAGACAGATAGGAGGGAAAGTAGTGGGTAAAAAGAGCCAAGTTCAATAACCAACTTCACTTTTAGCAAACTCCTGCATTAGACGTCAGAGAATAGCTTCTCACAATCAGGATTTCTAACCCACTAACCCAGCTGACAACAGCTGTTTGAGTCATCTGGTGGGTTGAAGGAAGGTTTGAGTTCTGTTTTTGGAGCAAAGTAGGCTTTTGTTAAAAGAGTAGAAGACAAACACATGCCCACTTCTGCCCAGAAGCTTTAAAGCAGCTTACAAAGACTGGCTTTTCTGAGTCGATCTATGATAAAGAACTGCACATTGCACTCTGAGAAAGAACCCATTCATTCAATGGCTGCTTTCCTGAATGTGTCACCTGTATAATAAAACTTCTCAGTGGGGCATGCACAAGGTCTGAAACAACATTTCCTGTTCACGGGTGAAAAGAATAATTTTCAGTCATCGCTTCAGTGACCTTATGAACTGGATCCAAGGAATGCCTTACTTTAAAACTGAGCCAGCCTTGAATTAACAGCCCTCCAATTCCAACCCAGAAACTCACATATTCTTTGAGTGAAACTCCATGATCTTGTCAATCAGAGGCATTTGATCTGGGATGTAGTTGTTGTTGAGGAGGTGTGACCGGCACTGGCTCTCCTCAAAGTCCCCAATCTCAGCTTCAATGTGAAAAGAAAGTGGGAAAAAAAAAAGCTATTAATATGCAAAATAAAGATAGGTGACAAATTTAATGGACAAACAGAACAGCTTCAGTGCTTCTTGGCACAGATGCTCCGAGTCTCTAAACACTTCTGAAGGAATGAAAATGATTTTCTCATTTGGTGTTTTACTGAGACTAAAATACACTTTGATCATTATTGGATAACAGACTGTGGTTCAGAAATGCCCAGTAATGAAAATTCTCAGCATTTCCTGGCATGGCACCATCATGTGCGGTTGCTCTGAAGCAGTTCTGCAAGATGATATTCAGGCATCCGACTGAAAGGTATCCATGGCAACACACAGATAATCAATTTGCAATGGTGTGCAGTGTGCTATATAACAATGTTTGATGATAAGCTTAGTGTGAAAATAGCATGATTTTTAATTTTTAATTTCTTTTAAAAAGACAGTTATCTGCTCTGTCAACTCTTTGTTCTCTTGAGCTAAATGAGGAAACAGTCATACGGGCCTTACACTGGATAATGTGGGAGACCATCAGCGCTGCGCTGCTGTCGTTGCAGGTCAGACGTCCGCAGGAAAGATCCTGTTTGATCTGGAGGGCAAACAGGTACCTGGCCACAAACACAAACAGCCCTCGCATTAGACAAAAAGGATGGACGTGGTGGTGGTGGTGGCAGTGTTCCACCACTGGACCCACATCTACTGCTGAATTCAAACGGGACATCCAAGAGAATAACTAAAATTCTAATCAAACACAATGCATGCTGGCCATTTTAAATTTCACACACGACTGCCTTTTGAACCAAATTTAGCTGGCCCAAGTGCACATTTCAGATTCACTGACTAATAGGCTGAGTGAAGTGACTTATCGAAGATCTGCTGAATGTCTCGTGCTACAGTGCTGCGTCCCTTTGCTGCAGGAACGAGCACAGTCATAATAAAATGTATAATAATTAGCTTAAATAAAAGGAATTAAGTAATATGTTAGAACCTCAGTGACCCAGTGCACGCCAAGACATGTAGGGGTCCTCGGATGAGAAATGCTGCCAATTTTATAAATGGAACTGATGAAACGCTGATGCCAGAGGCTTAGTTCAGCTATGTGACCTCATAATGGTGGAGGGTCTCCTCTGGATGTTTGTCGCTCCTGCCATAGCAGAACTAAATAAAATGCCACTGAACAAAACGTATAGACAACATGAGTTCATGGACTTGTGTGTGTCTCTCTATATATAGATACTCGTATATGTGGGGTTAAGTGAAAGGTCATACATGCAAGTTTCTACAAGTATATTCTAATAAATGATTAATTTAGCAATTTTGTAAATTTATTAAATGTCCAATGAAAAGTCAGAGATATTTATCACAGTTTTCCTGAGAAAAAGAAATCTTGTTTTGTTTAATCAACATTCCAAACCTGAAACAGATTCTGTTTATGCTGACAAACAACAGAGAAACAACACCAAGATTCCACATCAGAGAAACAGGAACCATTAAGTGAGTGATAACTGACTTAAACTATTAATTAATTCTAAAACTGCCCTGACTAATTGTTTCAGCTTGACTTGCATGAACCTTTTGTTCATTGTGTGTATTGTATCATCTATATATTTGCCAGTGTGAGCAGGATGTGTAAATAGAAAGTATCTGATATGCGTTAAATTAAAAAAAGGATACCTGCAAATGGCTGGGCTGTGCTAGATTATTGAAAAAATCTGAAATATTAATTCATTTTCATTGCTAGTATTGTATAATGTATATGTCAATGTGACACTTTGTCTTTTTTATGACTTCTTTTAAAAAAAATAAATGACGTCTTAAACGATATTAAATTGTATCCACAAGCTTCACTTTTTTTTTTAACATCAATTATTTCTCCACTCTGACTCCGAGAATATGTAAGTCACGAGCCGGCTCCATAACGAGAAAACAGAAACCAGAAAATCATTAGCTCCACGCTAATCTCCTGAGGGCTAAATCAGAAACATGGCAGCCATGACATGTGAATTGCATAGCTGAGCAGGGAATAAATCTTGTGGGAACCGGGGCATATGTTTCATTTATGCTTCCACAATCGCTTTCGGTCACAGCTGAAATCATTCACGCTGACATATCATATACAAATGCACATTTCAATGCCAAGTGGAAGGCAAACACGGTGTCGAGATAAAAGGGAGTTAAATTACGTGGAGAGAAAAGGAGCTCACCTTGTCAGCTCTTCCAGTAGCTGGGCATGGTCTGGGGGGAAAAACTTCACAGTAAACCTCAGGGTTGTGTGTTTCGGTCCTGTGTGGGATGGAGGAGCTTTTAAACAACACACACACACAAAAAGATGTCTCACTGTAACTGCTCTAAATACACACAACATTTGCTCTTTAACCCTCTGAACAACCAATACTGGAAAAAAAACTCTGCACAGTATAGATGTTCTACTATTGATTTATTTCCACTTCTCCTCAGATCTATGTAAACACAGCCTGCAGTTCAGCCTAGTTCAGCCGAAAAAGTCCCTAAATTTTTAATCATGTGTCTGTTGAATTACTAATGTCTTCAAAGTTGCATGGGAGAGTGCAGAATTTCTTTTCTTTTTTCTTTTTTTTTTACAGATTCATGATTTTTTTATGCTATGTATCAAATTTAGTGACACACAGAATAAAGCGATTTTGATGAAACATCCTGAATTTAAGCTTGTTAAAGTTGCCCGAGGACAGCCAGAAAGTTCAAAACCCATCGATTCGCACTGTTTTTACACTTTCTAGGTCTGATAAACGGTGCAATTCTGGTGATTTCTTTGTAAGATAACAAGCCTGTCAAACCTACGGGCAGATTTTGGGGTTCAGAAGGTTAAAACAAGATTCACATGGATCATACTGTACAGTCGCTCTCAACAGTGACACATTAAAAGAAAGAGATTCCTTGAAAAAAACGTTTTAAAACACTTACGCCTGAGCTGCTTGATAATGGGTTTGATATGGTCTAACCACACCTGCAAGAAAAATGGGATAAGAATGTCACAAAGTGGCTGTTTTTAAAACCAATTTGCTTTTGATTTAAGAAGACACCATTTCATTTCCATTTTCTCACCATCATCTTTTGATGATTCTGAAACTCCAAGCCAAAGTAGTCGCCCTCAATGAGATTCATGTGGGAGCACACCAGGTCAAACAGCACCTTGCCTGAAGCTTTTTGCTGAGAAGACAAAAAAGAAAAACACAGATTTCTGGTTAACACAACACTGTCATGGTTTCATCATTTCTATTGTAATCTGAATTTTTGTTTTCAGCATTCCAGCCAAATGACACTCTGAGAGCTTTATATGCTTATTTTAAATATGGGGCAGCAACATTTCAGGACGACCCAATGACAGGCTTTGACATAAAAGAGCAGCACAACAGCACTGCTTTGCAGACGTGTCAAACCCCATGCAAGCGAATGTTGCCCAAAAAGATGATCGTTTTCTTCGTCTAAATTCCTCTGCTCGTCTTCCTCCTTCCATTCAAAGGCTCGGTTGGCCACTAAGAAGCTGCCGTCCTCCCTGCTGCAGTCAGAGGGGGGTGGACCTCCTCTTTGATCTGTGTTTTCAGTGTCATTGCTGTCACTGATGACGGAGCGGCAGGCTTTGAGGTTTGTACAGTATCGGGATGGGATAAGGAACCTCCCTGACCACCTCTGTTCTCACTCGCCCCACATGAACACTTTGAAGAATGACTAAACTGCCCGCTTACTGACGAAAACTGGCAGTGTGACAACACACAGAACCTCAAAAATCCACCACATCTTTGGAGAGAGAGAAACTTTCCCATGTAAGGTCAAACAAATGTCAGGGATTTCCACCGAAACGCTTCTATTACAGACGCCCTAGGAAGACAGAGCTCTGTCAGGCACACAACGGGAGAGTTTCTGCCTGGCTGCTTCCTCGTGACTGGTTTGCACCAGTGCGGAGCGTATCACAGCTACAGAATGTGAGTGTTTGTAGTAGCAGTTCCCCCTGGCTTGGATAATGATCCAGGGCCGTGCATGAATATGTTTCAAGGAAGGAGTTTCTCCTCTAGTTTTACACAAAAGGGCAGCGAGCTGCTGAGGCGAACGCGACAACCTGAATTCCCTTCATACAGCCGAACTGTAATAAAGCGTCTTGTTCGCCTTTAAATCTGTCTAGTGTTTCGCAGAGAAAGAATGACACGGCCTGTGTTCCTATTAATGCTTAAAGAATAAAAACTTAAGCTCCACCAGCTTAGCGAGGGTTTACACGTCCACCACCAAATCCAAAATCTTCTCCAAACATGCACCCACCCACCCACCACTCGTCCCTCCTCTGCTGTCTCTCTCCAGGCTGTTCTCAGGCAGTGCAGGGGGCATCTTACCACCGAGGACCAGCTGTTTCCATATGGTGACGGCACTGATGAGGGAGGCCACAAGGAGACTGGAGGGAAAAAGGCCATCAGCTCATCTCTCTCTCTCTCTCTCTGTCTCTCTCACGCACACACATTGCTTCCTCACAGACTGCTGCAACCAGCAGGCAAATCAACCCCCTGAATGAATTATATCGTCTCGTGTTTTCTGAACAAATGTGCTCTGCGGAGGCTCCAGGAACGAGACCGGCAGACGGGCCGAGCCGGACACGGTGAAAGGCCGTCTCACTGGCGCGCTCTCATATCCAGCCTTATAAATCTGCTGTCAGGGTGGAAATGACCACGAGCCAAGCAGAGATGGGTAAGGCAGAGGCTGATTAAAGCCGAGCACTGCTTGATTAAATGCAGCTGTTGCGGACTGGAGTTATGGTGCTGCCATTTGACACCGCCGCGGCCGGCACAATAAGAGGACCATCTCTAATGACGCACGAGTCGCCAAGACTGACAGCTGTCGTGGCGCAGACACTCGGAGGACACATTAGTAACACAGTCTTAACTCTCCCTGCAGTCTAATTGCAGCAACGTAATGATGAAACCTGGCATAAGAGCAACTCGTCTTACACAACTGAACTGTGACCCGATTACAGACCGAAGCATGGCCAGGCGATGTCATATACACTTAGCTGCCAGCTTATTACACCTGGCTAAAACTCATACACTGCACTCTAATACAAAAAACCACGAAACACATCTGACCTTCTCAGTGGTTATAATTAAGGCGGCACAATATTGGAAAAAAAAAATCATATTGCAATGTCTTGTTTTCCTGTGATATATATTGCAATATGAAAAAATACAGGACTTTTCACAAGATGACTTTAATAACTGACTTTAAATTTGGAAAGAATGAGTCATTCTAGAATAATTGGGGTGATTTTGTAGGGGAGTGCATCTGCATCGATATTGAAAAAGTAATAATTTTCTAAAGCTACAACAAGGACGTTTGGAATCTTTCTCATATAGTGTAACTCCAGAAAGGCATCCAAAATTCGTTTTTGCTTTGGATGGCATTCATGACAGAGTATCTGAGTACCTGTACCACTATACCTAAATGATAATTATTTCAATCAGTATTGAGATCATGATTATTTATCATGATTTATTGATTCTACGGACGACATATTTTTATTGCTCTTGCACATTTAAACAAACAGAAAGCTGCTTTTACTTCCACGTTGTGCTACATTCTTGTACAAATCTGCATCATATTACAATCTTCACCTGAATTCAGAGCATCATTTCGTGTACTCAAAGCATCTTGTGTGCTTAAAATCTGCTTATAGCTAGACATTACAGTTCAACGATGTTCCCTGAACGCCTCACATGCAGGCTACAGTGGATGCTGCTGTGCATAGAGAAGCCTCTAGTCTCCAACTAATCACTGCAGTGATATACTTTTGTAAAAACGTTGAAATAAGGTGTTTTAACGCCACATTTACCACATGATTTCTAGCATTTTAAACATCAACATCACAGTCGATCATGTTCACTTCGTAGTAGAAAACTAAAAAGATGATTAACATCCTCTCAATCGTGCAGCTCCACAACCGACATGTTGTTTTCAGTTGAGACCAAATCCTACTTTTCAGTGTTTCTTTCCTGTTCCTCAGTCATTTCGCTGTGCGCATGTGGAGCGTGCATGTCAACAAACTCAACAAATTATGTTATATAAGACATGTGCAGATTAGTCATGGAAAAGGAGAACTGTGCTAGTTCTCTTTTTGCATCAGCCAGCCAAAAAAAAAAAAGTTGGAGAGTGATGTGTTCCAGTTAATTTGTCTCACTTCATATTCCTGCATTGTGACCATTTGGTACAGAACAGTGTGGACGCTGGAACGATATATTGTGTGGTTATAACGATCAGTTTTTGTTTTAGAGGGATTTAACTTCATGGTTAATTAGGACACTCGGGTTTGTGTTGCTGTTTGACTGGATTGCGTTATACTGACAGGTGCTTCTAATATTCTCTACCCCTTGTGGATATAAATGGGGTGGAAACAACAGTGGAGAATATCAGAGAAATATGATGCAATAGAGCTCCAACAGCATCACAAACTCCAAAATAATCAATTCCTCTCTGAAACAGCTTCAACAAAAACTCAACATTATGCTCATGAAAGTAGCGCGGGCTTGTTATGTCAGACTGCAGCACTTTTATCTAAATGCACCAAATGATTTCGCATTCCTTGAGAAAAAAAAAGTATGTGAACTCTCAAAGGAAGAGTGTGGACACTTGAACAATACGCAGCTGTCAAACTTGTCATTTTAAATCCACGGGTATTACCCTGCTGCTGTATCAGCCTCCACTCTTCTGATTTTGGAACCTGTCGACAGGGATTTGCCCTCATCCAGCCCCATAAGCATTACATTTAGCACTAATGTTAAGCGATAAGAAGTGGCTCAAAGTCGCTCTTATAATTCATCCCACAGGTCTTGGGAGGGGAGGAGGGGTTGAAGTTGGGGCTCTGTGTAAGCCAGTCAATTTTGTCACACCAAACTAGGAAAACCAATTCTTCATGGAGCCGGCTTTGTGCACGGATGCATGTCATTCTGACTCTGGGAAGGGCCGTCCCGCAAAGTCAAAATATCACTGTATGCTGACTGGAACTAAGGGGCTGAGCTCAGACAACACCAAGTATGTGGACAGAGTGCTGATAATTTCATCCCCGACACATTCGCTCTGCAGACCTTCTCCAGAGTAAACACTCGGATCTGTCATAACAGGAGAAGCTCAGGTGTCACAAACGATTCTGTTCAAGTGTCCCAGTGAGCCGTGGCAGTGCGACAAGGATCCAGCAGCAACAACACCGCCACCAGAACTCTGAAACTGAAGCAGCTGAATTGAACACAGCCGTCGTTCATTTTCAAATTTACATCCCTGCTTTTCCGACTGTGACATATCGGAATGTTTTTTGTGGAAAAAGGCCTTTTGTGGGTTTACGTAACAGGATCTATGAACCCACAATCTGGTCTGGTCAGGATGCTTTTAGTCCAGTGTTAACACATCACAACTCACACAATAGCGGACTTCATTGCGAGCCGGTAATGGCAGCCAAACACGACTGCCAAATGTAGTCCAGCACAATGCTGCAGGTCTACAACGGCCAGATTAGTGGAGGCACATCGGTGCCTGGAGATACATGCTAACACGTTCAGGAGCAGATCTAATGGTTGGCAATCAGCATGTTACAACGCTTACATTAAGAGGCATTAACCACATAACAGGTAAGCTGATTAGTTTTGCAAATAGTTGGTCATACACTGAAAAACTGGATGATTTGATGTCTGATGCGCAAGAAATGAAAGGTCAAGAAGCATCGAAAGCATTCTCTGGGAACCATGACATCGTGTTTACGACAATTCATTCATTAGTTGTGGAGATACTTCTGGTCCGGACCGTGCGACATCCCTAAGAGCCGTGCCACCAGCATGGCTGACTCGCAATTTAAGTTAATTTAGGTCACTGAAGCTGCAAAGGCCAAACGTAATTGACTGTGTCAATTTGACTTTACCGACCCATTCATTTTTACTGATTATAAGCGCGCTCACAGCAAGACTGTCGTTTTCTTTTTCTTTTTTAAATCTCCCCCCTCGTCTAGACTAAAATAAACTAACGCAATGAATTTAAAAAATCTGCACTGACATCGTCTCCTCAAAAACTGTGCATAAAGGGTGATATTATCAAATTCTGACGATCAAGTGCAGCGATCACACAAAGGAGAAGCTGTAACTTCATCCCCCCTCGATACGCAGCTGACACAACGTTCTCCATACATG